TCTGCTTTATCTTTCCATTACCTTTTCTCTTTTTGAAACCTTAGAATCTTTTGTTTCATTTTATCTTTCTTCGCTTCAAATTTTTCTTTGCAAATTCTAACTTTGAAGGTACCTCATCCGATTATTGATTTACTAACTGACAATGATCCTTAAATGTAAACACAACCTCCTTACCTCTATTGGCTCTCTATACCAAATATCTATGAATGACTTTATCAGTAAATGATCTCGGGTTCACTCTCTTAGGCTTTTTCCAGGCCTTGATCATACTATCAATTTTTTGAAATGTTTTAGGTTTTTCATATAAACAGTTAAATTGGTTGAGCCAGAGTGTTATAAAAACTAATTGTTCAGCTCTATATTATTTTTTCACGATCAGCGGTGCATAACTTGTTGACCCTTATAAGCTTAAAAGTGGAACCCTTATCTCATCTCCACATTGATACAGCATGATTTCTCGATTCATCCATGAAACTAACCATTTTACCTGACAAACTGTGAGCTTTTACAGCAAATATTTTCATTTTTTTTAGGTTTTGCTTTTGGCTATTCACTCTAACAAAATTTCTTAATTGAATTTTGATTACGAAAATAAAGTTTGAAGAAAGTACTTTTCTTGTATTCAAGATGGCTTTTTATTCATAAATACAATAGTGGTGTGCAACCTAGAAAATGTGCTTTATCATTCTGTTTGTAAAAATTCAAAGAATTGATGGTTTTAGTTAATATCGCCGGTGAAAGATTACATACTTTTTCAATTTGTTCAAATAAATTCATCACCTCTATCTCAATATAGCCTAAGACTAAAACAAAGATCACTATTTTATATATTGCTAGAGCAAACACACTCATTCCTTAGTTATCATCAGGGTGTTTAACAATGAAATCTTAGAGAAATTCCCATGGAATACCTTTATGTCCCTTTCTCTTAAACATATGAATCTATGAGCTCTTTTTTTATCCTCAAAATATGGGCTAACCTTTTATGATACCTTGGGTTTTGCTTTTTCACGTATACCCTATTTAGATAATAGAGATGCATACCCATCAGAATCGAATACTCTTATATGGTCGATATCAAATCAACTTTATTGAAAATGAAACAATGATAGAAGGGATCCCAAAATTGTACCATAGCTTTAATGAGTGAATTTTTAACTTTCACTAACATGAAATGTGCAACATGTCCAAACTTTTGACAAAATGCTTATTGTCTTGAATGAACCATATTATTCCATATGTTTACCAGGTCTTTCAAATCATTCTATTTTAAGGAACAATCGAATCTCATTAGGCAAGGTAGAAATATAACCAGATAACAAACAATCTCCTTCTTCTCACTGTCTCTTTTTTGACTCCACCTTCACATCAATAGGTAACTTACACTTGAAGAACACAGACAAAGTGCAAACTTAACATTCTATGGGTTTCATGAAAGCTTTTGTTGAATATATCTTTAAAGCATGAATAATATACAATCTATATCTATGTTTATGACTATGTAAGAAAAGAAAAAAAATAAAGAAATCGATTAATTATCTTGATATAAAATAAAGAATAAACATTATAAAACAAATAGAATACAACAACAATATGACTCTAAGTTTTCGATTAACAATGAAGGATAAAGGAACATGGCTCTATCTACAAGTTAAGCTCATAAGGTTAACTATATGTAGCTAGGGTCACTTCTAAAAGGTTCTCAAATTATTCTTTACATCATTGTCCATCACAGACTAGTAATGTATCCCAATCCTTGCCTATTATACACTACAAGCGAAAATGGTTCAATTTAAGTAGGAGGATTTCATTAGCCCATACGGAGATATGAAATTAGACGAAGGCATAGGTATTTTATTTCCTTATAAGGACAGAACTCAGGTGTAGAGTCTATGTTATGCACATGCAAATAAGTGGCAAATATATAAAAATGAATAAGTAAATAAAAAAATAAAATATAAGCAAAAAAATCTTGAATTTATTAAGGTAGGCTTGGATAACTATAAATCATTTACTGGCTTGACTCATTATTTCCTTAATAGAGTCATCAAACTGTTTTTACGTATAAATCCATAAACTTATTGCTAGATATGGATTAATAGAATCATCACCAATTTTTTTTGTTTGAGTGTGATTGATCACCTAATAGAATCTATCACATTTAAAGAGGAGTCTTAAGATTGACTTAGGTATATTTAAATAATAAATTCTAGTCCACGAAATCAAATTTTAAGTTTAGGAGTACGATTATGCGTAAGAAAAGTTATAACACCCTCACAGCACCTATACAAAATATGGTACTAATTTGATTTTAAATTATCCAAGCCTTAACAATATTTATGATTTGTCAAAATATTTAATATTGAAAATTGATCTTAACGTTACTCTAATAGTTTGGTAGCAATTTAAGATAACTCTTTCATCTCAAAAGTATTCATGGAGACTAATGTTTCACTCTGAAGAAGCTCCATCATCGGATTCATTAATATGTTTTTATTTAAGAAAATAATTAGTAAAATCTTTCAATAGTTTAACAATATTTACTTTGATGCAAATCACCCAATAGGTTAACGAGATTTAATTTAAGATGCAAATCCTGTAATAATTTGGTAAGATTAAAATAAAATATTTTATTAATAATAATTTTTTTATAAAAATTGATTTATGAAATTCTCAAATGGTTTGGTAAAATTCATAAAAAATTTAAATTCATGAAAAATCTTCCAATAGTTTAGTAGGATTAATGAATTTATTTTAGAAATATTTTTCAATTATTATTTTTATATAAAATAAATAAGTAAAATGGAATTCATAAAGGTAATTTAAAAAATAATAAATTGTCCAATTTAAAATAAGTAAAATAATAATTGAAGATATAATAATAATAAAATCTAAAAATAAAATAAATAAAAATAAAAACAAAAAAAAAGAAAAACCTGCGAAACATGTCAAACTTGGAAGCAGGTCACGTGCGGATCTCCACAGGTCACGTGGGTCAAACTCTACTGCAAAACTACGTCATTTTGGATTTGGTATAAAATCCAATCCTTAAGCTTTTTTTCTTAGACTTCAAACTCCCTCTTTCTCTTTAACCTTCTTCATTCCAACTTCTCTCTAGCCCTTTAACCAAAAAAATAAAAAAATCCCAATCTTCAACTAAAAAACCAAGTTTCAACGTCGAAAAATTCAATCGGCCGCCAAGAACTACAAAATTTCCAAAAAAACTATAAAATCTAGAAAACGACCCCCGCTATAATTTTTCGACTGTCGTGACTTCCACCAAAAACTTTAAAGATTTAACTTGAAAATTAATCAAACACAAAAATTACTTACAGAACTTCAAAAATCCCAAAATTTGAATTCAAACCCAAAAATCAGAAGAAATTTTCAGAACACACCTTAAACCTAGAAAAACATACCAAAATTCTATGAATTTTTAGAGACTTCCAAAATCAAAACCTAAATTAAAAAAGACCAGAACGAAAATTTTTAACCATCAAATCTCTCTAGAATTTTCATAAACACAAAATAAAGAAAAACCCAAAACTCTTCTCCCATTTTTGTGTTCAAATCATTCCCTTATGATGTGATTTTTAGGACATCATTTATAGGCTTTTTCAACAAAATTTTTAAGGATTGATCGAATCTGTCTTTAAATAGATTCAATCCCATTTAGTCTTTGAATCCTGGGATTTTAATCCTGTTTAATGGAGGTCAATGGTTACCAATTGATTGTAACTTCCAATTTGTGCAGATGAATCACAAAAACAACCCTTTCCTTACGGGATTTCTAGATATTCTGGTTGAATTTGATTTTTTTCTTTTTTTTTTTAATAAATGAATAAAAAATAAATAAAACAAATTAAATTAAATAAAAATCTTCAGTTGGGCCCAAAATTTCCTAAATGAGTCCAATTTACAGTCAAATCCGTTTTCAATTCAAATTTTTTTTGAACAAAACAGAGCGTCTACAAGTTCTTTACCTAACTATTGATGCTCAACGTTTAGGATTTGTTGAGAAACTTTCTTTTCGGTGGCAATGATGAGCTAGGAAACATTCCTTGATTACTTCCCTGAGTACCAGAGTGAAAATGGGACTATAAATGCGAAGAGAAGCATCAATGGGAAGTCTTTGTGAAAACCGCCCGTTTGATACAAAAGGAAAAATTGTTGTTAATGACTTAAGAAACTAATTACTAGTACTTGTTATTATGGATTTTTTGGTTTTCTTGGTTCTACCTTCTCTCCTCTCCCTCATTCCTCTCTCGCTATCTCTGTCTCTCGCATGGTTATATTTTCTTTTCATTTAGGTTTCCAACCTTATTTTGTGTTAGGGTTTTTTTTAATTGAATTGTTGTATGTAAGCATATGGAGTTATGTTTACAGAGTATATAAGAGAGTGCAGAACTGATGGTTATCAAAGTTTAGGTTTTTTTTTTTTAATCATAGTTTAATTCATTTGGATCATGTCAACAATGAATCATGACAATAGATGTAAAATTTAATATATAATACTTATCATTTCTTCTTTTATTTTTGAAAAAAATTAAAAGTATTAATTAAAGTACATTGATAAAAAAATAATAATAAAATTGATAGGATGATTGGCATGTGCTGCGGGATCTAATAAAAAATTTAATATAATTTTTGAATTATAATAAAATTTTTAATTAAAATATTTAAAATTTTAAAATTTTTAATATGATATTTAATTTATTAATTAATAAAATATTTATATTTAATGTGATTAATTTAAAATAATAATATATAATAATAATTTTTTAAATATCATATTAATTAATAAATTTATAATTTAATATCATATTAAAAATTTTAAAATTTTAAAATATTTTTTATTGAATATTTTACGAATTACTGTAAAATATTAATTAAAAAGAAAAAAAAAAGGAAAAACTATCACGCATCTGCGTCAGTACGGGTAAGGGGAATCTTTCAGTGTCACGCGATTCGTGAAACTTAATGCCAACAGGTTTCAATACTTTGCGTCGAATGCTTTATTTGTACGCGAATACTAAAAAAAAATCTGTAAATGTAATATAAATTCTGTTTGATCCGACAATCTGTCCTTGTCTTGGAAGAAAAAAAAAAGTTGACTGCTAAGGTTTCATCGTATAAATTCTGTTTGGACCGACGATCTGTTGTTGCCTTGAAAGAAAAAAAAAATCCTTTTTTAAGTAGATCATCAACCTGGTCGGCAACAGTTGAGTGTAGCAGTCAAAACAAAATGGGGAGTTGCAACACCAAGATTGACCAGAGAAAGGAGAATACCGGAGAAGAAGAGATTGGCTTTGATAATGATGAGCAGGGTGTTTCATTGAATGAACTACCCGAAGTGTGCATAGCCAACATTCTGTCTGCCACCACCCCTGCTGATGCTTCCAGATTCGCCTGCCTTTCTTCTACTTTCAGATCGGCTGCTGATTCCGATAGCGTCTGGAAAAGTTTCCTGCCGTCTGATTATCTGACCATTTTATCAGAATCAAGGGCTCTTCAGGCCGACTCCTCTTCCCTCACTTTCTCCTCCAAGAAACACCTCTTTTTCTACCTTTCTCATAATCCTATCCTTATTGATCAAGGCAGAAAGGTATCAAATCTCTTCTCCTCTGTTCCAAATCTTTTATTTATTTTTTCTTAAAATTTCAAGTAAAATACTACTAATAAATTGGGATTTTCATTCAAGAAAATATGCTTTTGTACTTTTCCCCATATTTGCTTTGAATTTATCTCTTATTCAGCAATTTTATACATTATTTCTTCATTTGTGTGCCAACACACACAAAGTAGAATTATCTATTTACTTGTTGAGTGTCGCTTCATTTGACTGGCCCTAGGAAGGGATTCCACCGCCCCACTGCATCGTATAGGGAGAAGCCAGGTGGAATCCCTTCACACTAGCCATCCAAATGAAGCATACAACTAGAAGTATGGATTCATGCTTAGCTATGATTATCTAATTAGAAACAAAAGGAAGCTATCTTTAATGTAATTTCTTTTTCTGGAATAAGTAGCTGAAAACTTAAGCATATGAATCTCTATACATAAAGAAATATAAGAGTTCTAATATCTGATTTTCCAAATTGAATTACATAGGTCATTGTTAAGTGTTGATATTGAGTTTGTTGTTGTAGCCTTGAAGTGTTCAGGTTGGAACTCTACATCGATTGTGTATTGATTGTAATTGTAGGTCGGGTGCTTAATCTAGTTTAGAAATGAAATCTCGCTAATCTATAGTAGCATAACATCCCGTAATCTTCAATCTAAGACTAGGGCTACTTTATAATTCCCATAAGTTGGAATTATATCTTTTTTTGAAATGTGAAGGGAAATAATAAACACACGAGAAACTCGTTTCATGAGAAATTCTATCAAAATTCTTAAATTTGCATTGCCTTTCCATATGAACTAATAAACACTCTGCATAAAATGATTTACAAGCCAATGCAAATCCAACAATTCATGGTTATAATAAAAAGCTTTTAAGGGGAAAAGGGGTTTTTGAGTTTGATTTTCAACTATAGTCATCATATATATGTGAACCAATCAAGAGCGCCAATTTGTTTCCATTTTTTTTTTACATTAAGAGTTGAAGTTTTGCTCATATTTAATTCCGTCTGTTTTTTGAGTTACTACTTGCCAGCATCTGAAATTTCATGCACAAAGCTTTTATTTATACATTAGCTAGAAAATTAGTTTATGCAACATAAACCTATGAGCGGTCAAGGGGTTCTTGTTCTTCATTCATAGTTATTATCTTAATGTTTGCACCTCTAACTTGGTTTTGATGTGTATGATAGAGTTTTTCACTAGACAAATGGAGTGGCAAGAAAAGCTATATGATTGCTTCAAGAGATTTATTGATTACATGGGGAGGTACACCGGCTCATTGGAATTGGATTTCCCATCCTGAATCCAGGTTTATACTCAAAATATATTCATCTCCCCTTTCCCCATATTTAAAGTTATGATTTATGTTTGTCTTCTCACTTTGGTTATTGAATATTTTGTGTTTGTCACGATGAACAGGTTTAAGGAGGTGGCCAAGCTGAATTATGTGTGGTGGCTTGAAATCCGTGGCAAGATTAGTACCTCCAAGCTGTCACTAGATACAAACTATGCAGCTTACCTTGTATTCAAGATGGGAATAGGAGCCTTCGGCTTTGAATACCATCCCGCAAAGGTTGAACTAACACTTGGAGTTGATGAAATTTGTAGAAAATATGTTCTTCTAGACCCCATGATTCAGAGGCATCGTCGATGGTATAAGCTTAAATTGATATACCTTAGTGTCATGTCCAGTTTGGAACGTCCAAAGGAGAGAACAGATGGGTGGTTAGAAATTGAGTTAGGTGCCTTCTACAATAGATATGGAGTAGATGAACTGAAGATGAGTATCATGGAGGTTAAGGCTGGCGTTGAAAAGGGTGGCCTTGTCGTTCAAGGGATTGAGATTAGGCCTAAAGTGGATAAGTAAGTTGGAGACTGCAGAATGGTTGTCTTCATGCTTCAGATCAATCTTCTCATTTGTAGTGCTTTATTCTAATTTCTTACTCCTTTTATGTTGCAACGACATAGTAATGTTTTTTTTTTTTCCTTTCTGGTGATAAATGACTAATAATCCATTTATCATTGTCACACACAATGAATTAAATTCAAGAATTTAGTTGGTAAAGCAAATTGCAACAGTTCAATAATAATATTTTTATTAATGTCAAGAATGACCTTCTATGAAATTTATTTTATATTTAAATTTAAAATTTTGTTAATATTATACCTATTATGAATATATTAATTAATATAGCATTCATCTTTAATATTATTGATTTTTAACTTTGATATGTGATTGAGAAATATCTTTAATAAATTCACATTTTAAATATTATATTAAAAATTTTTTAAATTAAATTTTATTTTAATTTAAATTACATAAAAAAAATTTTTAAAATTTAAATATTTGGTTGAAAATTTCACCTCAAGACTCAAAGTGTGAAATTATTATTATTTTTATAGATAAGTTAGTACTAACTAGTGAGCAGGAAGAAACGAGAGAAACTTGCTATTAGCAGTTATGGGTTTTAAGGTGGCTCAATAAATAAGCGTGTGTCCAAGAGTGACTGCCTCTAGCATTTCTCTTCCCTCCAAGCAAGTTAAAAGAGTGGGAAAAAACCACAGACCAAAAGATAGGTGAGAGGGGATAAAAAGAACTTCAATTTTCAGACTTTAAGGTATTATTACCAATTTTCCTGATTTCTTTTTGTTTAAGAATCTTAAATAACTTCTAATAAAATGATCTACAATACAAAAATGTACTAACTAAATGAAGTGATGATCCATGCAAAAGCACCCTGGAATGTGCCTATTTGGTGATTTGCTGTCTGGGTTATTGTTACTTCTTTTGATTAGAAATAGTTATAGACTCACAAGGGTTTTAGAATTGGTCTTTGGGTTTCATTTATTTCAACTGTTTATTTCTTTTCTATTTAAATTCAAATGTTATTCTGCATTTTAGCTTCTGCGGTTTTCTTTTTTTTTTTTTTTTTCTATGTTATTCCATTGTAGGTTGGTTTTTTAATCTTAAATGTTTGCCTTTTATATGTCCCCTCCTGAATTTTCGATAATTATAGCCTTTTCTTTTATGTGATAGTATTAGTTTTCTTGTAAAGTATATACTTCAAATTGTTATGATAAATGAAATATGGCGCTAATGTGCCTTTCTATTATTCTGTGTGTATGGCTATGAATAGCAAAAATTAAACTGATGTAGCAAAACTTTGACTATCTCGTCTTATTTTGTTGCTGAGGAAATTGAACAAATGGAAATGAATATCAAATGAAAATGGATTCTTGCTGATTTTGTTTTAGTCTCTAGAACGATGAAAAATGAGTGGTTTTTTTATGACTTCATTATTTGTATGTAGGATCGTTCTCTCAGGCAGGTCTTGATTTTGCAGGAGAAGATGAAAGTCAAGCTGCTACGTATCCTTTTCATGAATTAGAGTGTTCCTTACATTTTTATTTTTTTGCTTGAATCTTCTTCCTGTGAAATCTTTGCTTTCTTGAATTTATTGCAACTTTGATGATATGTCTACATTGAATTCAACTGAAACTTGATTGGCTTGAATCATTCCTGAAATTTTCTGACGAACTCTACTTTTGCAATTAGGATGTATAATTAGCTTCAAGGTCATCAGTATGAAGTCTTTCCGGGCATAATGGTTTTTGTAGATGTTTGACATGGTTCTTTCTTGTTAATCATGAGCATATATATATATATATATATAATTTATCCCACTTTTTTAGCTTTTTTTTGTGGTTTTTGTAATTCTCAAGTATATCTTTGATTTGTCCCAAATAGCATTTTTTGCTGGTTCTTTCTCAACCTTTTTAATTTGTCTTTACCATGCATAAAGAAACAATGTATTTGCCCTTGATTGATATCAGGTGCAGTCTAAATGGTACTAAGTATATATTTGTTTCCGCTTTTTGATGCATACTTGGACTTGTTTGTGGTCAATATGCTTTTGGTTTTTACTAGAAGAAACAGTTTTCCCTCGACTTATTTCTCTTCCAATATCCGCTGGGTGATGAGCAGAGTAAGCTCTCTTTATCACTTGCACCACATTGTAACTACAACAAATTTTTGCGTTGAACAAAGTTTTCGGTCCTTTGGTTTTTTTGCTCATAGTCAATTTAGTTATGCTTTTTATTGAATATTCCTTTTGAAATGATGAGGAACCATAATTCTTGTCCTTATGATGACAGATGGCATGCTGTTGCTTCATGGACGTGGGATGCCCAAGATGAAACATGTGGAATTTGTAGGATGGCCTTTGACGGTTGCTGTTCTGACTGTAAACTCCCTGGGGATGATTGCCCATTGAGTAAGTCTATCCTCTGAGTTGTCATGTTTGGCAATACTTTTGTGATAGTTTCCCATGTTCTTGAGACATTATTTAGTTCCTGAAAGGAGTTTCGATGTGATGCCATGCCTTTAATAGTCCTTACCTTTCACTTTAGATGAACATGTCTCCTATTCCTTTCCTTTTCTCTCTCTCTCTTTTTTTCTATTTGTTGGACAATTACGAAGACAATGCTAATAAAATTTGCTAAATAGCATTCATGTGAAAAGAAAAATCTCTTTGAAATCCCAATAATATTATGACATAAAGTCTATTTAAAATTGCTTTTCTATGATAATTTCACTACTGTATAGTTTTTAGGAATTCCGTATTATTTTGAGATTGTAGCAATTTTTCCATCCAGAGAAAGAGATACAGATTTGAGCATGCAGACATGGATTTATGAGTAGGCAAACAATGAGGGAATTTGCTACATGGTTGATTATACATGTAGAGCCTTGCCATTTTATTAGACTGTTCACTACCAAATTTGCATATTCCTTGGAAGTGCATGAAATTGAGGATAATGATATTGTTCTTGCTTTTTTATTTGTATTGATAGAAGCTTATGTACTTTTCGGTGGTGAAACCTCCAACATGTGTAGCATTAATTTAAACTGTAAAGCTGGAGGATTATGCAAAATATGGCTATTTTATAGTTCTCTTTGTAAATCTGTTGAAGGAGTAAATCTTGTCCAAAATCAATCTGATGCAACCCATAGAGAATTTCTGATAAGAGATATTTTTTTGAGTTTCACATTTTCAACAAGATTGTCACAAATTCAGCATTTATCATCTTGTCAGTTGGGTATCATAAAGCTTTCATGATTTGGCAGAAGAGAATTACACTTGAACTTTGGGGATCCTCATTTCAGTTATGAGCTGATATCTCTTTTTCCATGCTATGTATATTTCTCTATTTCTCATGCACTCTCTGTTCCAAAATTTTAGTTTGCAAAATATCTGGGGAATGATTGAAGTTTCTGTAGCCTGTCAAATTTGTGACCAAATCTATAGAAAGGAGGATAATTCCTTGATTTTGTCTAATTTACAGCTTCCACTATGAGTTTTATATAAAGAGAGATGAAAGAACAAGTATTCACAAATATAACACATAATTTTCTCTAACAATTCGGATCCATATCGCCTCCATTGTCTTCATTTCTCTCACAATGATTCCTTAGAATTTGTTTCTTATGTGTTTTAGGAATTCATCATCTTTGTTGTTTTCAGCATTTGTTTTTTTTTTTTTTGCCTTTATCCGTCGCCTTAATGATGTTAATTTGTTGTTGTTCTATTGCAGTTTGGGGTGCATGTAACCACGCTTTCCATCTTCATTGCATATTGAAATGGGTGAATTCACAGACTTCTCAAGCACATTGTCCCATGTGCCGTAGAGAGTGGCAGTTCAAAGGATAATCAGTGAACTTTTAACCAATTTCAGTAGTCTGCTCGGGTTAAAATACATCCTTTTAACTATTCTCATTTTGATCTACATATACTCTAGAATCACCAAATTTGAATTTTTGTTGTGGTTGTGGTTGTTTTGCCAAGTGGATCAATGGTTTGGCCATTTGCAAGTAATTTGTCATACACACCCACCCTCCTTTTAGAGCAATGGTTGTCACTTTAGTCTCTGGTTTTGCATTGGCTGTATAACTCTCTCTATCCATGTGAATGTGATGAGTTTGCTGTGCTTAAAAGAAGGTTGTAGCAATGCGGTCAGCCTTTAACTCTCATCTGAAGACAGTTTTCTTTCTGTTTTCATGTCCTTGGGTGATATTTGTTTCTTCTGTTTAACTGCAGAAAGGTACTCGTCCTCATTTTATTTGTTTCTAAACCATAGAGTTTATGCTTCTGATTTTGACTTATATGCCCCTATTTTTCTCTCTCTCTCTCTGAAAACAAACAGTCCCATAACAAATTTAGCTACATCGGAAGAGAAACCAATCAAGTTAAAGAAAAAGAGTTCAAAAGTTTAATATACTCATTAAGATTAATTTCCAAAACAATGTTTAATTCTTACATGGGGCTGCAGCATTTGCAAACATACGAGGATATACCAAAATTGAGCAGGATGATGGCAAAGACAACCTTAACTGTTACAAAAAGATGAATATAATACCTGTCCTGCTTCTGATGAAGTCAACAGAGTGATACTACATAGCTATACGCATTTTTTTTATACAAAGTGAATAAAGCAGCATGCATTCTTGACTGTAGAGAAGAGGTGGAACTATGCTTGGGCTGTTGTAAATAGCTCTTCCCACTTTTCTGGATCGGTTCCTGGACCTTCCCCCTGCCAAATAAACATTGATGTTAGCAAAGCAAAGAAGCCATTTCTCAAGCATGGTTAAAGCTTAAAACTATCATCTTTCACATAAGTTAATGCAAGCAATTATTTACAGTGCTAAATTGGGATGTCACATTTTACAGACTGAAATTGTTTTAGAAATACTTCCCTACAGCATCATTAACTCTAGTCACTTGTCATCTTTCGATAATCACACAGGTTTGTTGATCTAAGTTCAATTGCATCATGTTTCAGTTTTAGAAAAACTAAAATGTAATGATTGCATATGTGGACTGGAATGCCTACATTTATCATAAACCTCTTGCTCCAAATTTCAGTACTTACTTCAACCGAGTTGATTTCATAAATTTTGCCTTCCGTAATTTCTATGTCCAGTGCTTGTATGCAAGCTTCAGCAACCACAAGCCTGCTGACCTCTCCAACCAGTTTATCTCCTGTCATTTTCAAAGAAAAAAATGTTAATAAAATGGACAGCTTATAATGTACTTAACCATTTGTATATGAATCCGTCTCCAAAGCTTTTGCATGACTTCAAATGTCCTTATCAAGAGAAGAGCCGATTAGAGCAATTTCAGTGTCCTTTTTTTTTTTTTTGTCTATCACTATTAAAAGCAATAAAATAAAATTTAAATTGTTAAGGGTCCAAGAATAGGTTTCAGTTTGTAGCACGCACCTTTTTTCGGCACATAAGAAGTCAAAATGACATAGACTAGCCATGCAAGTTCATTACCTTGAAATTTGAAAGCATGGACTAAACACAAACCCACCATATAATTTCAGTTGAAATTAAATTATCATAATAGGAAAGCTAAAACTCAAACTCTAGGATTTAATTACATGTTAAAGGATTGCTCAACCTTGAAGCTTAAACAATTAAATCAGGGCCTGTGAATAAGTTTTTCTAACAGTTAAAGGATAAAGTGTAATATATATTTAATTTAACAATAGACGAATTAAAAGAAATCAATGCTGAGAGACCAACCTAACTCTTGGTCTATTGTACTGTGAAAACATTTTTACAATTTGACTGACTGGGAACCTTGTTTTAACAGTCCTTGACCACTTAGAACTTTTTGCTTCCTATAATTGCCATTAAAATATCTTTGACAACTTAATACAAAACATTTTTACAATTTGTCCTATTGCAAAACCTGATTTAACATACCTTGACCAATGAGAACTGCACGGCGTTGCCCAGCAGTAGCCTTAAGCAAAGTATTAAGATCATATGATGTATAAGGTCCATCTGTCAATCTACCAGCTCTGTATACAATAAGTATAGTTTGAATGACCATTGAACAATATGCAACAGACAAAAGCATATTAATGCACTGTTTCATACTATCACAAGATAAAACATTATCATTAACCACTTACCTGATAATGGTAAATGGAAGGCCAGACTCTCGAAGAAAATCTTCCCCTTTCTTTTTATACTTGAGAACCCCAAATAGGTTCATAATGCTGCCAAAGATAGTGTAAAATATAGAGTAGATAACAAGTTTTAGCTGCAAAGCAATCACCCCTCAGATATTTTGTAGCAAAAAGCAGTATTAATAGGTGCACAAAAGGAGCCCCACCTTCAATAGTTGGATACCCAATTAAGTTAAATCATACATTCAGATGAAGTGGATTTTGTGTTTATTATATCTTACTTTTATATTGCATTTTGTCTTTCCCTCCCATTTTTTGGGTGGGGGAATGGGGGAGGTAGTGCATGACAAGCTCTTTCACAAAAATCATTCATACAGTAGAAATAATAATGGATGTGAAGTTTGAAGTCACAAGAAAAGATACATAACCTAATCATGAAAAAATCGTATAATGCATTCATTGTTTGATTATTTGTATTGGTAACTAAATAAGACACAATGGCAAGCTGAAAACCAAATATACCAATTGCTACATGTGTGCTTCAAATTTTGATGATTGGGCAGAACAAACACTTACATCCATAAATGTTGTACCATTTGGCTCATGTTGCTTGACATGTTCACAGTAAGTGTTCAAAATATTATTAAATTTCTGAATGCACAAGACCTCACTGCAGATTATCCATGAAGAATAATATATTTTATGATGTGGCATACTGTCCCGACTGCTGAGTTCATAGCTGTATGCTTACTTTCCATCCCTAGATATGAGGCTGCAAATGCAATTTTTAAATATACAGGCCTTGAATAACAGGGGTTGAACTATGGTGGGATGATATTTAATACAACATGATACTTCTTTGATACTGAATGAGTTCATTTCTTATAATTACAAATGGAAAAAAGAAATATCCAGACAATCTATAAAAATCATAATGCTAACAGAGAGAAAGAGAGGATCATGAACTTCATAATTTACTATCCAAAATATTTTCCAATTAACTACTCTTCTTACCTCCATGGTAGTTCATTGAACTTGGTTACGCCAACTGATGAAACAAGAACTACTCTCTTCAGTGACGAAGGCAATGCAGATATAAGATTCCTTACACCCTCCCAATCTTCAAAGAATACAACATGGTCAAAACATGTGTCTCTATGTGCACTTGTGCATGGTTGTGCATGTATGCATGAGTCAATGTGGATGGACAGACAGAGTATCGCAAGCTTCATGGGAATACCTTTTAAGTTATTGATAGAGTAATGTTTGATAATTTTAGTGATTTTAAAATAAATAAATTAATTAATGTAAAATTTATTTTCATAAAAATCATCGCATATTATATTTAAAATTTTCAAATAATATGCAAAATAAAAGAAATCATCATGCAAGCAAGTACTTTTACAAAAAGTAACTTAAAAGTTAAGTGTCATATGAAAGGTATATATATTGGTACATTGGTTGCTGTAATCAATGAGTAAAACATGTTTCCTTAATAAAAGGAGATTTGGATTAAAAATTTTATACATTTAATGAATAGAAATACATTCAAGAATTACATAAAGAGTTTGGAAAACTCAATTGCCAATTAAAAGGTTTCAAAAACTTAAAGGGGGACCAAATTAAGATAACTGCAAAAGTTGATGAAAAAACATAGAAGGGCTAAGACATAAGTTTGGAAAAACCAAGGCTGCTCATGGCTTCCTATACCCTCCACTGGCTTTGTGATTATCCATGTGCATTTACATGCACTTGACATAATAGATGCACTGAAGTCAGAGATATGTTGATACATAGAAAGATAACATGAATACTGAAAAGACCAAAGCATGTTCATCAACAATTCCAAGTATGGAGAATGAATAAGTTAATGCACAAATGGTAAGATATCTACCAAGTTTGATGACTATATTTATCATTCATAACTAAGCAAGTAATATACCCTGGACAAAGGCTAAAAAAGAATGTTGATAACAATATTTTGAATTTATTTCCATATTAAAGTATTTTCTGACCTACTCTTTCAGGTGTATTATCCCCATCCCATCTCTTGGAAGGAAATGCAGTTGTTCCAGTGCAACAAATCACATGTGTAATGCCCTATACACAAATTGTGAAAGATTAATACATTTGAAAATCCTGAACTATTAGATGGATTAATACAACCCAAAAAATGTAATTTGTACAGAAAATAAAAGGAGAAGGTTTGCAAGATAAATATGAAGCACAAACCTCAAATATAGATGGATCTAGATCTGATGGGTTTCGAGTGTCCCCTTTAAAAACCTATCAAGTTTTAAAATCTCTTTACCATAAAATTTTACATCTGAAGAAAGAGAAAAATTTTAAAGCAAGAACACTGTTTACAAACATTAAATAAATGAAAATGTAAGGAACGTAATCTATGAGCATGGACGAATAATGAATCAGACAAAAATTCCACCTTTAGCTTCTCTTCATCTTGGCTACCAAACAGAGAAGTTGCTTTCTCAGGATCTCTTAATAATAGACGTGATTTGATGTTCCGGTTCAGCAAAGATGCCACTACCAACTGCCCTGAAAAGGAGAGCAATTTGCTGATACCATGAATAAGTTTGACATTGTTAACAAGTAAAGTTTGACATAGTTAACAAGTAAAGTTTAACCATTCGGTTACTCTGCTCGTAAGTACACTAAGACAAAAAGTATAAATCTATACACAGTGGCCTCATTACTTTGGTTTGGTTTCATGTTTTTGTTACTTATTCTCTCTGTAGTTGGATTGTCGATACAGAGCAATAAAACATTTAAGTCAAGATCAAGTATAATTTGTACATGACAAAGATGAGACTATATATCTCAAATTGGGGACCTTCCTCATCTCCAAATTTCTTGAGAAGCTGCCTTGACAAAGTGATCAACTCAAGACTCTTAGGTTAGCTGCTTTAATAACATCTAAGCCAAGATTCATATGGTGGAAGAATGTACTGTATGTGCTTCTGCATTGTTGAGGAAGTGACTTATTGGACCCCTACTTTGTCAGTATATGAGCAGTGTAGATCTAGAATCTACATTGTACCCTTTGTGAGTTAGAACTGCGTCATGAAATGGATACTTGATTTTGCTACTTTAGCATTTACCTAAAGCTCACGATTAACTCAATTATTAAAAGCATGACGAATGACGAATTACAACGTCATGAACTGTGGGTTAGTGATAAACTAATTGATATTAGAAAAAATATTTGATACCACATTAATGCATTGTAAATCATTGTGCAAGAAATAAGTTGAATTAATTGTTATCAAACATAGCTATATGACATTATTATATATGAGGGATCATGAGATAACTCGTTTGTGGACATGACGAAACTATCTATATGGATTGTGGACATGATGATACTATCTATATGGGTTCCTTAGAATTGAAACAAGACAGGATGAATTGTTCTTATGTCTATTTTTACCATAAAATGTTAATAGGCATATGCTTAATAGATTATGGAATGTGCAATAAAATCAATAGGTGTCTTATGTCCTATTTTTTGGCCAAAAGGTGTCTTACATCCTTGGGAAGTAAAATTTGTGTCATCATTCACTTACAAAAAGGATTACGGTTGGTGTGTTGAATATAGTGCAGTACAAACCTAATCGGCCAATAAAAATTTTTTATTTATTATACATCTGATTGTATATAGAAAGTATTCTCATATATGGATATTACATGCCTTGTACGCTAGCACAACACATAAATATGGTAATAAAGAAAATATATGGAAAGCAAAAGCAAAATCAAATTTTGTTGCATACAGTAAATCAAATACTAGAAATGGATACCCTCCACTCAAATTCTTCTTATAAATACTATAAGCAACTGTGGAAAAACTAAGAAATAAAACTGTGTGAAAAACTAAGAGTAAAACTGAATGTATATTGAAAAACTGCTTATAAAGAATTATACAAACACCTTAGGTTTATATACAACTAACTAGTGGGTAAACTAGGAAACTAAATCTTCCAAAAAACTAATCCTATAATTGAGGGATTGTCTATCCTAATTTTTTGTCATTAATTCTAGGGATATAAATACTTAATTCTAGAGATACAAATATAAATATATAGATTACAATACTACAACCAACTGTAAATAAGTGTTTTCCCACACTCCACCTTAAGCTGGTGAAAAGGTGTTTTTCATTCTCAGCTTGGAAATAATTTCTTGAAATGTTACACTACTGAGACCTTCAGTCAACACATCTGCAAGTTGACCATTGGTTGATGTATACAGTGTACAAATCAACCCACTATCTAGTTTCTCCTTTATGAAAAGCCAATCTACTTCTATGTATTTTGTTTTGTCATGTTGCACAAGATTGTGTGCAATGCTTATTGCAAACTTGTTATCACAGTAGAGTCTCATTGGTCCATCTCACTTGATTTTCAAGTCTTCTAGGATAATCTTTAACCATAGTAGTTCACAAATTCCTTGAGCCATTGCTTTAAACTCTGCTTCAGCACTTGATCTTGCTACCATATTCTATTTTTTACTCCTCCAAGTCACAAGATTAACACCTAAGAAAGTGCAATAGCCTGAGGTGGATCTTCTATCAGTTACTAAACTTGCATAATTAGCATCTGTATATGCCTCTAGAACTAGCCCCAATTTTTTTTAACTAAGATACATTTCCTAGGATTGGCTTTCAAATAGTGTAATATACGGTAGACAGCTTCTAGGTGCACTTCTTTAGGACTATGCATAAATTGACTTATCACACTCACAGTATATGCTATATCAAATCTAGTATGTGAGAGATAAATGAGTCTTCCAACTAATCTTTGGTGCATCTCTCTATCTACAACAACATCTTCATTAGCTTCTCCAAGTTTATGATTAGGATCTATAGGGGTATTTGCAAGTTTATATGCGAGCTTCCTAGTTTCTTTTAAAAGATCCATCACATATTTCTATTGTGAGATGAAAACACCATACCATGAGTGAGCTATTTCAATTCCTAGGAAGTATTTCAATCTCCCTAGCTCTTTTATCTCAAATTCTCTAGCGAAACATTGTTTTATAGATTCTTTCTTTTTTTCATCATCTTTAGTTACAATTATATCATCAACATACACTAATAGAATTGTAACTCTCCTTGAATCAGAGTGCTTGATAAACAATGTGTAATCTCCTTAACTCTGTTTATATCCCATCATTGGCATCAATTTGGCAAATCTCCCAAACCAAGACCTAGGAGACTATTTAAGACCATATAAAGCCTTTTTCAGCTTGCATACTTTGTTTGCTTCTAGAGGACCTCCAAATCTTGGTGGAACCTTAATATATATTTCTTCTTCCAAATCACCATGTAAAAAAGCATTCTTTACATCAAATTGTTGAAGCTGCCAATTGCAATTTGCAGCCAACAATAACAAAATCCTAACTGTATTCATTTTGGCCACTGGAGCAAAAGTTTCCACTCATAAGTTTGAGTATAGCCCTTAGCCACTAACCTGGTTTTATACCTTTCAACAGTACCATTCACCTTGTATTTTACAGTGAAAACCCATTTACACCCAATTGGGCTTTTTCCTTTAGGCAACTCTACCAATTCCCATATCTTATTTTTCTCTAAGGCCTCCATTTCTATTTTCATGACTTGCCTCCATTTCTCACTGGATGATGCCTCGAATAATGTAGTTGGAACAAAAATAGTGTTTAGGCTCACAAGAAAATTTTTGTGGGATGGTGAGAATTTTTCAAATGACACAAAATTAGAGATTGGGTATAGTGGATGCTTAGTAAATTCTCTGGTTCCTTTCCTAATGACAATAGGTAGATCATAATCACTAGTTATAGTTTTAGGAGATTCATGCTCATTTTGAGAATAAAGTCAATGACTGTAGTTACCTCATTTCCAGAGTTAAGATCAGGTTCTTAGACTGGCATTAATTCGGGAGCTAAAACTTTCCTTCTTGAGTACACCTGTAATTCCTTCATAGAATCAAGAACAATATTATTCTTTATCACATCTTCTATGTTTGAAATGGGTTCAGACTCAAATTCAGTGTTTGACTTAGACTCAGAAGAACCAAGTTTCGACTCAGAAGAATTAATAAGGTGAAAATGTTGAAGAAGAGAACAAATCAAGCAAAAAGAAGTCTTTATCCTTATCTTGCATGAATGAACTCTCCCTTTGAAGATAAGGTTGAGTAAAAAATGGTTTACTTTCTTTAAAAATGACATCAGTAGACACATAGAATTTTTTGATAGGAGGATGATAGCACTTATACCCTTTCTAAGTTGATGAATATCCCACAAAAATGCACTTAATTGTTCTAAGAACCAACTTCCCCCTATTGTGACTGTGAACATGAACAAGTGATATACAACCAAATAGCCTAGGTGTGAGGTTGTTTGTGGTATTAAAGTTGGGATAGAATTGTGAAAGTAGTTTCATAGGAGTTTTAAATGCCAAAACCCTTGAAGGTAACCTATTTATAATATGTGTGGCAGTGAAAACAGCTTTCCTCCAACAGGATTTGAGTACATTTGCTCGAAAAAGTAAAGCTCAGGTTGTCGTTAGTAAATGACTGTTTTTAATCTCTACCACTCCATTCTGCTGTGGAGTATTTACACAAGATGACTCATGGATAATCCCCTCCTTTTGGAAATAGGTAGATAAACTCTGGTTGAAATAGTCTCTTGCATTATCAACCCTAAATCTCTCAATTTTCACTCCAGATTGATTCTGAATCATGTTTTGGAAGCTTAAAAACACACTATTCACATCTGATTTGGATTTAAGTAAAAATATTCAAGAGATTCTGATACAATCATCTATGAAAAAACAAACCACCTTGCACCCGAAATATTAGGAATTGAAGAGGGACCACATATGTCACTATGAATCAAGAAAAAAGGAGTAGAACTTTTTTTGCTAACTAAAAAAGACACATGTCTATGCTTTGCAAGTTCACAAACATCATAATGAAAATTTTCGACATTTAATCCTTTGAACAAAGAAGGAAACATGTTTTTTAAAGTTCCAAAAGAAGGATGTCCAAGATGAAAATGATAAAGCCAGATTTTGTCTTTACTAAGAGATTTTTCAGAAAGAAATGACAAAGGTAGACTATTTTTTATATTACTTGTGTTGTTTGATGTCTCAAGATAGTATAGTTCATCCTTCTCCTTAGCAAGTCCAATCCTTTTCCCCAAACTCTGGTCCTAAAATTCACAATAAAAGGGATAAAAAGTCATTTTGCAGTTCATATTTTTGGTAAGTTTTTGTACAGTTATCAAATTAGTAAACAATCCAGAAACATGAAGAACATTTTTACGAGCAAACGAGGGATTAATTTGAACATCTCCTAATCCTACAACTGTAGTAAGTGAACCGTCTGCAACAACAATTTTCTTATTACTAAGACACATGATATATGTACTAAACTTTTGTGAGAAACGTGTCATATAGTCTGTGGCTTCTGAGTCAAATGACCCAAGAACTTGTAATAGGCTTAACCGAGACATTTAATCTATGAGAACCAGAAGCTTTACCTAAACTAGAAACCTTTCCCAAGGAACATACCCTGATAGGCTTTTCAAGTGTTTTCAATGGGTTTCTCAGCTTCTCAATCTCTTCTCTATCCAATTCTCTTTGTTTCCGAGATATTTGTAATACTCCAGTGATTTTCCCAGTTGACACTTCCTCAAATTGGGTGGTAGTGATATCTTTTTTTGAACTTAAATAAGTCTTAAAATATAACAAAAAATGACTCTTAGCAATGAAGGCTAAAGAAGGAAAAATAAAATGGCTATGAAGGCTTTAACAGGGTTCGGCAATGAAGACCTAAAATAGAAGTCAGCAATGAAGGCTGAAAATTTTGCTTTCCAAGAAAAGCCTAAAGCTCTGATACTATGTGAAAAAACTAAGAAATAAAACTGTGTGAAAAACTAAGAGTAAAACTGAACGTATATTGAAAAACTGCATATAAAGAATTATACAAGCACCTTAGGTTTATATACAACTAACTAGTAGGTAAACTAGGAAACTAAATCTTCCTAAAAACTAATCCTATAATTGAGGGATTGTCTATCCTAATTTTTTGTCCTTAATTCTAGGGATACAAATACTTAATTCTAGGGATACATATATATATATATATATATACAGATTACAAGATTACAACCAGCTGTAAATAAGTGTTTTCCCACAGCAACATCATTTGACAGCAGCACCTACATCACCTCAAGCTAAAGTATAGACCATGACAGCCAATTACAGCAACTCAACCATGAAAAACCTCTCAATTTCTGCTATGCTTCTGCTTATTCTGGTCCTTACTTCAGGTAAATCTCTCATCATATTCTTATCAATGCCTTAATTAAGTATCTAGCCATTCATTTCATTTCATTTTCAATTGAGCCATAGCAACAAAGATGTGAATACAATTATTTAACGACTATTTAGTACTGGTGTTTTGATTACTACCATCATCTTCTACCTATCAACTAAAAAACTAAATGATAACACAGTGTTGAAAGATGAAAATTCATATTCGGTTGTATTGGCTATATGAAAACATAAAGCTTAAGAAGAGTCTGTTTTTGCTTGATACTACCAAAATTTGTGAGAATATGCCCAGAAAATGACTGCATATTTGTTGTTTCTTGCAGGAAATTGGATTACTACAGAAGCTCAAGCCGTGTGTGAAAAACCACTGCACAGAGTTGGCTGCCAGAAAGATGAATGCAATAATGGTTGCGTGCAAAAATATGGAGCAGGTGCTTATGGATATTGCTTCTTTTTTCAGAAACCCAACGATTCTTGTGTCTGTCATTACCCTTGTTAGTTTGTTTACATTTATCAAAGCTTACTACTATCTTCTATCTTATGTTAATGGCTTTTAGGTCAGGGGATTATTTGAAGCCCAAACACCCCAAAAATAAATAAAAATAAATGATAATCTCTCTCTCTCTTCCCTCATAACTTATTAATTCACATAGTCTGGTTAAGGGTGTAAGCAAATGGCTACATCATTCAAATCAAGTTTGATCTCAAGCATGCAGTCAAGACCAAGCTTGGGTGTTTTATACACAAATTGAATAGCCTTGTGATTTTGATTTAATTTTGACTTTTAGTACATTTATGGAGAAGTATATTTCGAATAAAATGTGCATGTATAAATGTGATATAATTAAATAATATGCTATACTTAAACAGTATAATCAGGCAGGCCTACTTGACTTGAGCTTGGCTAAACTAATTATCACAATAAATCAAACTCATGTATGCCAAATGAAACCCAATCGCGCTTGAGCTTGTGCCAAGTTTCAAGCCTCAAGTTTGGTAGTTGAGTTAAGCTTACAATGTCAACTCAACTCAATTACACCCATACAACAGACATCAGAATAATAATGGTCATAGCTTATATCAGCCACAATCCTAACTGGACTGTGCAAATTAAGCTAGATTTAAGGGTGCCCTGTCCAAAGACAGATCAAACTTAGTTTTTTTTTTTTTTTTGTCTAGTAAATTTCAAAAGCTATGTTTCAGTCACACTCATCTACTGTACAATTGCAACGTAAAAGCTTACTTATCAACATAGAGAAGTTGACAGCAAAGGTTGGTTGAATACTAGTTTGTGCACCGAAAAGGATATTCTCTTTTGTTAAAGAAGGAATCTTGTGACTTTCCTCTATTAATGCAAATGTAGCACAGAACAGAATTCACTAGAGCGAGCCTAGCAAAAGCAACAACCAAGCCAAATTAATAGGTAATTCTTATCTCCATTCAAAGAGATTTGAATAAATTCACAAGTAACAGTTCCAAATAGACCTAGCAATTCGTGTATTCATGTTAAATTGTGAATACTACTATTACTATAGGCCAAACACATAATACATTTTTTTCCCAAACTCATAAATGCTTTTTGCTAAAATTTTAAACTGTATCCCTTTCTTGTCTTTTTTTTCGTATATTTTTCTTATCTTACATAATTCGAAATAAGCAATACAGTAGAATTATAGAGATGCAAAAGCAGAAGGGAAAGAGAAAGATAGCTTACCTACGCCGCCGGAGGCGCCGACGACAAGAACAAGCTTAGTGGAAGAAGGAAGAGTTGTTTGGGAATGAAGGGTAGTTTCTGAATTTGTAGATTCAATTACTTCTTCTTTCACAGCATTCACAGATAGTCCTCTAAAGCCTGAGTTTTTGCTGGAGAAGCCAAACCCATGTCTGTAATTCAGCTGCGGAAGAGCCAAGACTGAGATTCTTCGAAACGGTTGTGAGGATTTCTCAAGAGGGAATGGGAACGTGGAGGAGATCTTGGTAGCCATGAAAATGGAACTGAAAAAACAAATGGTTGCAAATTGGAAAGGAAAAAAAAAAATAGGGAGAGGAGAGGGACCGTTTGTGGTGGTTATATTTTCCGTTGGTTTACTAAAATGTAACCAATATTGTAAAATTCTTTAAAAATCTGAATAAGCAATGAAAATGTTCAACAAATATTTTGCAATAGATTCTGATTGTATTTTTTTTATATATAATTGTTTATTAAATTTAAGAACGATCATAAATATTATTTTAATATTTTAAATTAAATTAATATTATCAATATAGTAAAATTTTTTATATTTGACATATTTGATGAAAACCAACATAATCTTTGGTGAATAATTAATTAAAAAATTCAATTTTTATTTGTTTTTATTTATTTATTAAATTTAATAAATAATTATAAATAGTATTTTTATATTAAATATTTTAAAAAATAGATAACCAATATAATAAAATTTATTCATATCTTTTTCATTTACTTCTTTAATTTTAAAATTATTACAAATTTCAAAATAAAAAGATACTAAAAAATAAAATGGGGAGAATAAGAGGAAATATAACTGTATAGTATATATTATTTATGAGAAAGATTTAAATTAAATTTGTGAAAATTTTTATTAAAAATGATTAAATAATATTAATATTAAAAATTAAAATTTATAAATTGAAAATTTTCACTATATGAATTAAGTATATAAAAATTTAAAAATTTAAAAAATTTTGATATATTTTTATATAGATATTTTTAATAAAAATATTAATAAAATTTTTATTGTTAGAATAAATATAATTTAATTTATAAATAATTTTTTAAATATTTTTATATATTATTAATTTTAATATTAAGGCTTATTAATCTATCCATTTAAATTTTTATTAAATTATTTTTAAAAAACTTTACAAATTTTTTTCAAAAAAAAAAAATGTAAGATTTGTCCTACTGCTACTATTCTATTTTATCTTTCTTTACTGCATATAAAAACACGCGCTTTTCTCAGTCAATATTCTTTCTGACGCTTCAAAAAGGAACGCCACCGCACCTCAAAGCTGCTTCAAAAGTATCTCTCGTTAATATGGCGTCTTCATCATCATCATCTGCAGCTCTGAAACGAATATCGAATCTGAGCAACCATCTTCGCCCAAGAAACTCAAACGCTTTAGTCAAAGTATCTGCAGAAGTCTCTGATGCTTTGTCAAGTGGCCACCCTGTTGTTGCTCTTGAGTCCACCATCATTTCCCATGGTACGTTTCCTTTCATACTTGTTTTTGGTGTTTTTTATTCATCAATTTCTTTTGTCTTGGCATTTCTTTGAAGAGCTCTGTTTCTTTCGATCGGTAATAGAAAAACTATTTTTAAAATGTTCTGGGTTCTTGAAATCAAGTCCTTTTGTTTCACAAATCAAAGCAATTTATCATTTTTTAATGAATATTCAAATTGTAGAGCTTTGGGCTTTCTTTGGAAATTCATTGAACAAATAAAAAAAAAGGAAAAGAAACAACGTATTGGAACTAATCCAATGTCAAAGTTCACGTTTTGAGTTTTGTAGTTATGCATTTCATTAGAAATGTAATTTGTTGGTTTTTTTTATTATAAATATGTTTGGTTCTAGGAATGCCGTATCCTCAGAATTTGGAAACAGCGAGGGAGGTGGAGGCGATTGTGAGGGAGAACGGAGCTGTGCCTGCTACCATCGCTATTCTTGATGGCATACCATGCGTAGGTCTTGATTCTTAAACTTGTTTCTCTTAAGCCCTTTTTATGTCTAAACCTAATTTGGATTAACGTTAGTTGCATTGTTGTTTTCAACATATTGATCCTTCAGGGTTCACTACTTTATTATTTGAGGAAAGTAGAGACAAAGCATTAGTACATATAGCCAATTAGCCATTGCTTGTAGCATCATATTAGGGTGAGCCAATTTTACTGTGGTTGGCATAAACAGAATTCTGGTACCGAATTTGATTTGTGTTTGTTGTTTAAAACTAGGGATGATAAGCCAACCTCACTAGTTCCTTTATATAGATTTGCAATGTGTAATGTAAGAGCATTCTAATAGTTGATGGTAATTTTATGCACTAAGCTTGTCTTTCAATGTTTTTAAATATTTCATAGGATGCTGCCATGACTGCATTTTCCTCGCTGGCCTGGGTTTCTTCCTCTTCACCTTAACCTAGCACTAATGGAAGTTTTAATTTCATTTTTTAAATGGTTTTATAGGATTTTAATGTTGCTAGTTTTTATTGTTTGTAGGTTTGACTTTGGAACAACTGGAAAAGCTAGCCAAATTGGGAAAAAGTGCTCAAAAGTCTGCTCGCAGGGACATTGCACATGTTGTGAGTATCATTTAAAATTAGTTTCTATATATAGGAGTATCCTGTTCTTCATGATAGATCTACTTAGGGGAAAGATTTATGGGATTTGTTGAATTGAAAATAAAATTATGAGACTAATGGACAAAGTTTACTTCACAGAGATATAAAAATTAGTGAAAACATTTGGAGTAACTTTCCTCGGAACAACATATAGTTGCACTACGTTAGACATTGCTCAGATAGAATTATACTAATGAGCTACCATCTTGATGATGTAATTGAAATTATTGTTTTTATGAAGATATTCCACTATATTTTCTATTGTATCACATTTTGATTGCTGCAGAGGACTATAAGTCCCTCTCTGGTTCTTCTTTTTAATGATAATGGACTGATTATATGTAGGTTTGAGTGTTGATTTTTGTTGTTTTGTTGAGATTATGGTTACGGCATGTTAAAGTTTTCCACCGAACTTTCAAATTTTGGTGCACATTATAAAGTAAGAGGCACAGAAATCCATCTATAATTGCTGACAAGTTTATTCATTTATTATGTTTTTCTAAGGATTCTCATCTGCATCATGGGTTTCTTTTTGTTGGTTTTGTTGAAGATTTTCACTTCAATATCTACTTCAAATCTGCTTGAAATAAACACAAGAATAAAACCACAAATGACACTGACCCATACAAATCCCGTGAATTAAGGGGCTTATCCAGTTCCTATCAGTTTATGATGTGTTCCACTTCAAATTTGTGTGGTAACCAATGTCCTTTTACAGGTGGCCACCAAGAGGAATGGTGCAACTACTGTTTCTGCAACCATGTTTTTTGCTGCCATGGTGACTACTAGTTTTGAATCTTTCTTTTCATTATCTACTCATACGAATTCACCATTCACCTTTTATCTTTTTATCTTCTTGGCTGTAATTTTTACCCTTGGTAGAGTTTTCACAAAGTCACTAACACATTCAGCACTTGCAGGTTGGTATCCCTGTCTTTGTTACTGGGGGAATTGGGGGAGTGCATAGAAATGGCGAGCATAGTAAGTTGTACTTCCTTATATGTAATGGTCCTACAAATTGTTTGGTCCAGATGTTGTTTTAGACTTTGCAAGTTTGCATGCGATGAACCCTCAAAGATGAACCATACACTGTTCATCTCATTTATTTATCAAAAAGAAAATGTAAGGCTTAAATTCAACCACATCCATCTTCTTTAGTAAATTTTACTTCTTTGGTCTTGCCATTTGTGGTTTAAAGATGAAAATAAAATAGATCCTTTTCATTTCCTGGAAAGCAAAGATTTCAATGTATCATATCAGCTACAGCATCTGATTGTAAGAAATATTTGCCTTTTTGCATCATGTAGAAGGGGAGTTATTCTGTCTGTATAATTAAGCACTTACAATTGTATGAATATGCACTCATTGTTATTGTGTTCTTAAGCACGTGGACTGATTCCAAGAAATAGAATAGAAAAAACCATCTTTATTCTACTTGAGAAATTATATTCTGTGCTTTATTAATTATACCTTGCTGCTTCTTATGTTCCAAATGCAGCAATGGATATATCCTCTGATCTCACAGAGCTTGGAAGGACACCAGTAGCAGTCGTCTCTGCTGGTGTAAAATCAATATTAGATATTCCAAGGACACTGGAATATTTGGTACTTAATCACTTTGTCTACAAAATATTTTACAAGAATTCATCTTCAGGTTGAATTGTCAATCACTAGTGTTTTAAGCAAAATTGCAAATTTTGTTGTTAATACAGGAAACTCAGGGAGTTTGTGTTGCTGCTTATAAGACCTATGAGTTTCCAGCTTTTTTTACTGAAACAAGTGGCTGCAAGGTATAAATAGTTGACTCATAGAACATTATAGCATTTCTTGAAGCTGCATTGGTGTAAATCTGATATTATTCACTTCTCCCAAAAAAAAAAAAGAAAAGAAAAGAAAAGTCTGATATTATTTACTTATGAGTTTTTGCTCTGACATTGGTGTGGTTCATCTGAATAACATAGTACTGACTGAAAGCACCTAAAATATAGCTCCTTGATTTCTTATTCAATTGACTTTTGTAAAGAGAGGTTGCATTGCATTGAATTTGCATTTCTTATTATCACATAGGATTAGATTCATAGTAATCATGACCATATTAGGCAACATCAGTGAAAAATGGGTCCTGCTTAAATAATCTTATTTATCTTTGGACTGCTTTTCTTCTTTCTCTCTTCCTCTCTCTTTTTCTTGAAAGGAGAACTGGATTGGATTTGGAACATTACAGCATTTTGGAAGGTTTCTAATTTGTTGTTGTGAAATCACTTTTCTGATTGATACTCTGAGTAAGAGTGTCTAATCGAGAAGTTGTGGTGCTGATGTGTGCACAAAGAAACATTCTTAGATGTTAATCTTAGAGAGTTTTGCAGATTTGTGTGCAAGCTTACAGTTTGAAATGCTTTGTTCAAAGGAGAATATCTCAAATGCTGTTTTTGTTTCTTGGTTCATGGTGATAATCCAGGTTCCTTGTCGTGTAGATAGCCCAGAAGAATGTGCACGGTTAATTGGTAAGTGACAAGGTTCATTTGATCTTTTCTTTAGTTTTTTTAAAGAGTTATTAATGGTCTCTTTCATTTTTTCTTTTTCCTTAAAATAAATTTTTAATTACAGATGCAAATAGGAAACTTAATCTTGGAAATGGAGTATTGATTGCAGCTCCCATCCCGAAAGAACACTCAGCTTCTGGAAGCTTAATAGAGTCTGCAATACAACGTGCCCTTACAGAAGCTAGGTTGAAACTGCTTTATGCTCATAACTTAAACATATGGTGTTCTAAGCTTCCTTTGTAATTTCTTGTTTTATGACTGTATTCTTTATCTTCAGGGAAAAGAACATAACAGGGAATGCTGAGACTCCTTTCTTGCTTGCAAGAGTTAGTGAATTAACTGGAGGAGCATCACTTGCTTCAAGTATCCTTAAGAGATGACTAATACTCATATTTTGTTTAATATGAAGGGACTTTCTGTCGTGTGGCATCGCACACACCGGTAAGTCAATTTATTCTAATTGCTGACTTAGAGAATTTACTTTTGTGGACAAATACATTATCATTGTTATCATTCTATGTTATTCTTTACCTGCTACATAAAGAATAAAAGTCAACTTATTGTATTGGTTTTCTTAACTAAGCTTTAGACATTGCGCTTGTAAAAAACAACGCCGCACTTGGTGCTAAGATATCTGTAGCTCTGGCCCAGCTCAAATAAAATTGTGTGAAGGTGAGCAATATTTTGTTTTTACACTATTTTGATTACAAAAGGAGTTGCCAAAAACATACCTCAGTGAACCAATTGTTTGAAAAAACATTTTCCCTTCCTAGAGGGAATGGATGCCTGCGCCCGCGCCCCAGGACATAATTTAAGGAAATTTTACGGTTCTATCATACTTGCAGAATCTTGGAAGCATTCCAAGTCCGTATTTCTTATGTTCTGCCATCATGTCCTAGCCTTCCTTCTGTGTTGCCTAGTTTTACACTGCTTTTTTGTCGGCATTTGTTGTTTTTGGTGGCTACTTTGTCATGTTAAGCTGCTTGATGTCCCTTTCAATATTTTAATCTTTATTACCTGAACTGATGTCTCAGTTATGCGAGCTGATATGAAGTCTATACAGAGAGGCCAATGCTCTCTGATCCTGCAACCATTCACCTAGCAAGTTGGATTGTCTCAGTTACATTGGTTTGCGGCTTTCATTTTTGGTACATGGTCAAATGGATTAATACTGACAATGAATAGTACTCTTATGTACTTTATTTAACCTTATAATTTGTTTAATTGGAGCCACTGGTATTAGGGTTGTACTTTGAAGAGCAGGTTTCTAATAGAAGGGGCAAAGACCTTTACTTTAAAGTGTGTTTGATTGGAGGGAAAGGGGAAGGAAAATGTGTGGAAGGAAAAATTACTTTCTACCATTTTCGTCATTTGGTAGGAAGGAAATAGGAAGATAGAATGAAAATGAGTGGCACACTCTTACTTTTCTCTAAATTCAATATTTTCAAATATGAGAGAAAAAAATTTTATTTTTATTTTTACTCTTTCCTTGTGTTTTTTATCTTTCGTAGCAAACACAATAAAAGAAAATTAACTTTCCTTTCTTTTTTTCCTTACCTATTTTCCTTCCCTTCATTTTGCTTTCCTTCATACCAAACAGTATTAGTGATTAGCCAGATGATATTGTAGCCATTGTAAATTCATAGAAATCTTCCTCCGGATTTTACATCACGCCATAACGACGATGCACAAACAATAATCAAAAGAGTTCAACTCTTAATTCTAATAATCAAAATTTAATCTCGAGCAGCTTTGATTCTAATAATCAAAATTTAATCTCCAACAGCTTTAAGTGAAAAAAGATTGCATTGTTTTTGAAATTTAGAAAAGATCTCCCCCTTCAACTCGAAGAAACCAGTAAGGGGCAGGAGATTTTGTGGGCGAATGAATGGCAAACAACTTTTTCCATTCCTCAATCATATTGCTGACAAAACCTAGGACAGATTTGAAGTGTGGAACTGTGGACAAAAGCAACTGTCCTCAGGTTGCATACTTTTGACGCCAACACTCTAAAATGGGACACCATAAACACATGTTAAAGAGCTGGAGCCACCTTTTTTTTTATTGTTTTGGGGGATGGTGCGTTTACTTAGCTGGACCATTTCAAAGACAAAGTATCTTAGTCCTGTTTCTAGTGTCTTTCCTGCTGAACAAGATGTGCAGACCAATAAAAAAGAAAGTGATTTGTAGGTACTATCACTTATTCCTCTGTATTTTTAATTAGTTGTTTGTCAAAAGATGCTGAAAAATTATACTCCTTTAAATTCATTCCAATCTTAAAACTTTTCCCTTTTAGTTACAAAATTTTTTTTTCTTTTTGTACAAAGGAAGCTGTCACTGTAATTTGAGCCCCAAATCTATGATGCCACCTTTGAAAGGTGTGGGTCAATTATCTTTTGCTATATCTTAAAAGAGGACTTCAAATCTTTTCAAGTATAACAAATTTTGAGAAATGGTAGAGTTTATGGAAATAGGAAAAGATTTGCAAAACCATATGAAAAAAAAAAAAAAAGGGAAAGATGCTTTTTATTGTGCAGTAATAGTTCAAGAATCAATAGATTTTAATAGGAAAGGTTTGGTATGGCATTTCCTAGTTGCAGATCAGTTCAAGTGAAGAAAAGAAATCCATTATAAAAAAAAAAGGGGGGGGGGTGCATTTTTCAGTTTTGTCTGGAACTGTGATGTAGCCTTGTGATATAGTACAAAGGCAAACACGACCGAAACAAGCTAAAAATATGTTCCATCGGCATCAGGCTAGTATACTAACAAAAATATGAATTCAAAGACGGCAAACCATTTGGCCACCTTTATTGGTATTTATTATGAGTTTTCAATTCCCTGTGTGTTTTTACCAAATCCAATTTGGAGTTGAAAATGAAGTTTGAGAGTTGAAGCCTCAAGGACATTCCAATGTCTCAATACCAACAATAAATTTCGTCGGGGGTTCACAACACTAAAACTTTGCAGCATTTTTACAAGAAATGATTTTTTTTTACTGTTTTTATATTGAGGGTTGGGATTTGGGTTGCTTGAGCTCGAATTTAAACTTCACATAATTCCTCTTTAAATGATTATTGATAATAAAATTTATTTTAAGTTTGTATTAAGTTATATGAATGGCATTTTTTTTTGTAAGAAAAAAATTCAAAAGTAAATAAATTGTTCAATCTCTCATATCATGATAAAATGTATCATACTTGATAGCAAGACAAATAACTACAAATCATGCATGCAAGATGACTCTAATAAGTTGTCATTGGTAGGACTTGAACTCAAAAATCTCTTTGTTAAAAAAATTAAGCATTAATCAATTGAACCAACCACTAAATTATATATGAATGGCATTATTCAATTAAAAAGAAATGCTAATTACTAAATAGAATTTTTTTTTATCAAAATCAACATTTGAATAAGCTTACTCAAACTATATGAAATTTGTACTAACCTAATTTAAATGGAAAAGACAATAATTTAATTTTGGTATACTCCGAACTGTATCAATTCAAAACAAACTCAAATTTGATATACACCCCTACTTATTAGTTTTAACAAAATACAAAGCTTAATTCAATTAATTTATATAATTATATTTAAAATATGTTATTTAATAAATTTAAAATTAAAATTTTTATATTTATAATCACAACAATTTAAATATGTTTGACTAAAAATTTGAAATGATTCGTGCTCATTTAAATTTTAATCACTTTTACTATTAACATATTAACTATAAGATAGTTTACTTCATTTAAAGAGATTCTTTGCAAATCTAACATCCATTTAGGTACAAAAATTTGGCTGAGATTTCAAACAAAATTTCCATTGATTTCTTGTAAACAACTCCAAGGACATTTATTTTGGAGTTGTGATATCATATATCTTTGTCAAGTGGTAATACAAAGCGTCCCTTTTTCCTTTGCCCACATACTTGAAAACCTCTATAACAATAACATGTTTTTGGATTTTTTTTTTCTTTTAAAAATCAAAATATTGGTAGCATTTTTGCATTGGTTATCCTATTATTACATGGTTGACGAGTATGAAGATTAATTTGAATCACAACTGTCATAGAGAAACTATCTACCACATTGAGTCTTGCTGCTTCAACTTGGTCTGTCTTTACATTTCATCCCTTACGTCATACTCAACCACAAGACCAACGTTGTCTGCTAATTTGTGGTACTGGAGACACCCTGCTACTGTACATGATTAATTTGAATCATAACTGTTGTTGGATTGTTTTGAACGCATTAATATATTTCACCCAAATAATTCATTTCTTGATTTTTTTTTAAAATTTTTTTTAGGGTTTGAGTTATAATAAAGTTTTGAAAATAAAATTGAATGCAATTGGGTGAAATAACTGTTTTTTTTTTTTTAAATTCCAGTTTTCATATGTTCCTTTTGATATGTACTAAAATATTAATGTACTTTTCAAAAGTGAAAAAAAAATATGATTAATTATCGCTAAAAACATGACTTAAAGCAGGGAAAGCAATCAAAAATGAAAAAATAAAATAAAGGAAGAGGGATCATATGGTCAAGATCCAGTATTCAACTATTCAGGTCTTCCTTTCCATCTTACCTTGAGACAAAATAAGCAATAGGAAAAAAAATTTTCTTACTTATTCTAAAATGAAACATTTTATTTTTAAAAAATTAAAAAATATTAAAAATGATAGTAAATATTATGCCATATATCTTTTTCAAAATTAAATGTTGACACTTTCAATTTAAGGTACATTAATCTTTTTTTATTTTCTTTAACATATCATTAACAAGTGATTGGTTCAATTGATTAAGATTTATTTTTTTTTATAAAAAAATTTTAAATTTGAGTCATGTCGATGATCACTTGTTTAAGTCATATCAAATATACGACTTGTAATGATCTGTTTTAAGTTATCAAATAAGATACATATTATCTTGACCTGAGAGATTGAATAATTTATTTATCTTAAATTTTTTTTTTAGCAAATCATATTTTTATTTTTATTATATTAATTTACAACTATAGAAAACTTTAAAATTTTTAATTGAACATTCTTAAGTGAAGGAGTATGGTTAATTTGGAAATACGAAATGTTTTATTATTAAAAAAATGAAGGACCAATGATAAAAAGACTTTTAAAAATAAAGTGACGTTACTATTTTTTATTCAATATTTTTAAGCTGCTATTTATTTATATTAAAAAAATTTACAATAATGATATCAATATAATAGATGATAATTCACGAACAAATATATTTTATAAGTAATAATTCTTAATATTATTAGTTAATTAATTATTCCGTGTTGTTTCATTGCGATAATTCTCAATTTTCATAGAAATCTACGTACAAATATTATATATTGTTTGAATTGCCAAGATTGATGAAATCACGACACTGTGATTTTGGATCCAATTTATAATAAGAAACAAAACTTTTTAAGATGTTTATTATTAATCCAAGAATCGACAAAATAAAAGAAATTCACTTTGTTGTCATGTCAATGTCACGTCCCTAAACTTTAGGTTCCACACTATACTTTCGATATGTTTCAAGGTGATGTCTTATCCATTTAATTTTTTAATTTAATTTCAAAACTGCTATGATTGTGACATTACTTTCTTTCAATTTATTATTATTATATTTTATATAAGGAAGCTTCGAGCTTTTTTTTTTTTTTTTTTTATGTACTTAAGGATTCATTTGATTGGCAATTAAATTAATTTTAGTAAGATTAAAAAAATAAAGGTCATAAAATTAATTATTATAAAAATATATATTATAATAAAATTAAAATTAATAATAAAAAAATATTTAAACATAAATATAATAATAACGTAAAATTGTGTAGTAAAAAAATAATTATTTAATATATTTTATTAAAAATTTTATATTAAAATATATAATATATAATATATAATTAATATTTTTAAAATTATTAAGTAATAAATTTATAAATAAATATTTAAAATATTTTTATATATTTTATTAAATTATATAAATTTTAATTATTATTTTAACCTTGATTATTTCTACACAGCAAATACGTGAATTCATCTCAATCATGCCTCATCTTAGCCCCACTGAATCCAAACGGAGCCTTAAAGCTTAAACTGACAAAGCTAACAATAGTAGCTGACAGCTGTAATATTAGATGTCAATATTAGTTTGGCTGGCTCCATGCATGGCCTGAGCTTTTAACACATTATCGACGTGCCCTAAAATAGTTCAAAATGTATGCCATATGATCATCATGCATGCATATCTATACATGATCATCGTGCATGCATTAATGCCGTTTGCATGTTTAAGTGATCCGTCCACTTATAACTAATATAATTATGAAAAACTCTATTTACACCCTTATTTTTATTTTATTATTAAATATATTTTAAATTAAAATTAAAATTTTTTATTTATACTAAATACACTCCATCCTTCAACAATTAATTTTTCCTTCGTACCCTCAACATTTTTTTTCCCTTCTATTTTTTTTTTCTTCAATCTCAAACCCAAATTAACCCTAAATCTATCAAATTAATTTTAAAATTACATTTTTTTTAGTCTTCTTTTCATTAAAAGTAAGATTTCAAGATTTATTTTGTTTGATTTAATTTAAATACATGCGAAAATATGTTAAAATTTATGAAATAAAATTCGTAGAATTTGAATTTATTAAAAATGTATATTCAAAATCCCTTAAAAACTCTTAAAAATCTATTTTTATTTTTGATAAACCTTTAAGTTTTCAAAAATTCATTTTCAAAAAACTTTATTTCCAAAATATATCATAATTTTCAAAAATAAATTTTTAAAAAATATGCTATATTCTCGTAAATAAATTTTCGAAATCATAAAAAAAATATTCAACACAATATAAGAGAAAAAAAGATGAAAGAGAAAGAAAAAGAAAGAAAAAAAAGGTAAAATTCTAATTTATTAAAATATAAATTTGATATTTGTTATGTGAGTATTTTTAGAAGAAAATGGATGGACTGTAAAGAGAAATTTGAGTGATGTATTTAAAGGCTTCCTATAATCATATACTCTTTTCATTTCAATATTTCTCATTTCTATACAATTAACCCTAATTGCTGACTGAATTCAATGATTAATGTGAGTTGAAAGTTAAGAGAAAATTTTCTTTGTAACTTGAAATCCTAAAAATCCAAATGTTTTTTTCTTCTCTTACAAATGACTTAGAGTCTTCTCTCATTCTTTTTTAATTTTTAATATATTAAAAAGAATTATATTTTTTATAAAATTAAAAATACAAAAATTATAATTATAATTATATATTATATCTATATATCATATTATTGAATAATTAAACAATAAATTAAAAAAATTAAACAAATTTAGCATAAAATTTAATTATATCCGTGCACAATAAAACTTGAATCTAATGAGTTTGAGTTTCTCTCCTTGTTTTAATTTTTAATATATTAAAAAGAATTATATTTTCTTTTTATAAAATTACCTATACATAAGTTTGATAATCAACTAAAAAACTAAAATCTAATTAAACAAATTAAACATAAATCATACTCACACACAATAAAACTTGAACCTACAACTTTATAGTTTTACAATAAGTATATCAATAGGTAAGGTATGGGACGGATAAAACATTATCCATCTCCATCCTTAGTTTTTTATATTATACACATTCATATATAATATCCAACAGGTATTTCAAATTCATCTTATCCCTATCCTCATGAGTGTTTAATAGATATGAATAATCTTGTGCTTATAACTTTTTAAAAAATAAAAAATAAAATGTAGTTTTTTATTTTTGTTTTACACATTTAAGTAATTTTGTATAAATATATACTTTTAAGTATAAATATATTAGTTCTAATAAATTTAAAGTAAATTTTATATTATTAAATAAAAATTAATTTATTAAATATATATAAATATATAAAGTACAAGTATATGATAATATTATATTATTCATTTTCGTACCCATATTAAATAAAAAATTTAAAATCATATATATTTTCTTCCATATTTTTAAAATTTAATATCCATCTTTATTTTTATTAAAATAAAAAATTATATTTTTCACCAAATTTGAATAAAATTGATATTTCCATTTTTAACCTACTCCTTGACCCCTGTAACGAAGGGAAGTTTTCTTAAATAATTTTTATTTCAAGAAAGAAATTTATGGATTAAATTATTATGATAAAGGGTACTTACTCTTATTTGGATATTTAAACTATACACGACAAGCAATGAGTCAGCGTGAAAGTCTGTTTTAACTTTGAATCGGCATTATATGTGGCAAAAGATGTCGGTTCAACATAAATTAATTATATTATTATTTGTTTACGTATTGGACTCATAACCATTATGCACAAATTCTGAAAATAATAAATTTATCATAAATATTAAATTATAATTATAAATTTTAAAAATAAATTTAATTTTTAATTTTTTAATGAAATTCTAAATATTTAACAAAGTAATAAAGGTGTAATTTTTTTGGCTCACTGCATTTATTTTTACATATTTTTGTAATCATTTTTTTAATATTTGATAAATCCTTAAATAAATTATATTAATTATATATTTCAAATTTTTGTGTTATATATATATATTTGATAAACTTGTTTTTAGAGATCGAATAATTCAAATAAATGAAAAATTTTTGAACAAAATAAAAATATTTATATTAAACATATATTCATATTTAACATTTACTTTTGAATTTAAATAATATAATAAATAAAAAATATATAATTTTAATTAATTCTCAAAATCAAATGTCAAAATCCATCATATATCCTTTATAGTTTTCTTTCCTTTCTTAAATTTAATTTGTTTTGTTAAAATTAACTTCTATGTTTTTTATATTAAATTGACAAAAATAAGATAAAAATGAAAATTCACTTGAGTACAATAAAAAATGAACACAAAAATTATTTTTTAAAAAGATTAAAAAAGTTTAAGAATAAATTAAAAATTAAAAAATAGTACAAAACGAACCTTCTCCCAAACGAAACTTATCCCACAAGATGAGTCTTGAGCTTAACTTGAAATATTATTATATTCATAATAATTTTTTAGTTAATTTTAATTTAAAGATACTAAAATATTAACATTCTAGTAATTTTGTATTTTAATATTATTAAAAATATTTAATAGTAATTTGCATATATTTTTTAATATTTTAAAATTACTATTATTAACATAAAAATTTTAATATTTTTATAGTAAATATAAGACTACACTAATGAATTCACTCATACAAAGATGATTTTAATATATTTAAATTATTTTTAAATATCAAAGTTTCTTTTCTTTCAATAAAAACCTTCACAATTATAATTATAAATACCTTTTATTTGTTAACCCTTTTTGTAGTTCTCTCATGTTCCCACGTGATAAACTAAAAAAGTATGCAGTGCAGTAGAAAAATGTGTGGTTAATTGATGTTGTGAGATCTGAAAGCCAAGATTTACAGGGATCGAACGGTGGGCGCTGTAGTAGTTTGCACCATAGTTGTCACATTATATTTTGTTCACTAGTGCTCTTCACATGGGATAAGTAATCAACTATCTATATATATATATATATAAAGCTGATCTTTTACTTAATTTTTGTCGGTGAAGACAGTTGTGTGATGCTTCAAAATAGATTATAAATATTAATATATTTTTTAATTTTATGATAAAAAAATATGAGCAAAATTTAAAATTTAATTTAATTAATTCATATAATTATTTTTTAAAAAAATTATATTAAAATTAAATTTTAATATCACAATCATTTTTTTATACCATAAAATATATATCTCAAAGTAGTAAAAAAAATATAAATATTAAAATTTAAACCTCGCTAAGTTCTAAAGAATCAAGAACACATCAATTTCTAAGGTCTCATGATTGAACACGAAAAGCCATATGCAGCCACTGATTCCTCCAAAAAGTTGTTAGGAAATTAAGATTTTCATAATGTCAAACTACACCTACTCCTCTATATATGATCCAAAAATTTAAAAAAAAAAAAGATGACACCATTCTAATAATTTCTTCAGATTCAGATGGATTTCTTGCTTGATATAATTTTATTAATTAATTAATAAAATTTGTTAGATTATATTTTTTATTTATTAAATTAAAATAAACATTACTATGGTAGAAAAATGTTTCTTTATACAATAATCTTGTTTACAATAAATATTGAGAAACTGTTAATAATTATATGATCTTTTAATAAAATATTGAACTATTAATTTTAATAATAAGAGTTTAAATTCTAACAACTTTAAATAAAAAAATAAAAAAAATATTCTTTTTTAATTGGAATTATGCAATGTGATTATATCCTTAAAAAGTTTAACTATTTATTATTATATTTTATATGGGTTTGTTAAATGATGAATATTTATTTCAATCATGAATATTAATTAATGCTGTTTGAAAGAAAATTAACTTTTTTTTAAAGAAAATTTAAACTTTTAAGAGAATATTATTTTGTGATTAATTTGAACTATATATATATATATCTTGATGTGCAAAATGGGAATAACTATTTCAAAAATTATTTTTTGATAGATAGAATTTTTAAACTTTATAAACATATTTATAAACTCATGACATGGGCATTTACTTAATAAAAAATTTAATAAATCAACATAATCTCTTAAAAAAATATGTAGCGTTTTGGTGTATAAATCGACTGGTAATAAAATTTATAAACTTCAATGTGCCAATAAATAAAATATATTTAATATAAAAAATTTTAAAACTTGATTTAATTAATTTATATATTTATTTTTAAAATGTGACATTCATTATTTTTGAAATTTAAATTCAATACTTCTAATTATTTTTTCTATCTCTAAATTACAACCTTTGTCATACTAAAATATATATATATATATATATATAAAATAAGTCATGAAAAATATGAAGGTTTTTTTTTTTTTTTTTTGATAATGAGGACAAAGGTGGATAAAAATCTAGGGCTAGGGTAAAATTGGAGGAAAGGAAAAAGGGGGTTTCAGTTTTCAACAAATCCCCATCCAAGGCTTCATAAGTAGAGATAAATGGACTATATTAATATACTTTTGGATGTTTCCTTAACTTGCTTGTCTCTTTGTCTTAAAATAAGAAGATAATAACAATTGTATGGTCGTTCTTCAGTTTGAAAACAAAACAAAACAGAACAAAACCAAACAAACCAAGTTTTGGAAGCATTTTGGATAGCTTTCTTGCAATTCCCGCGCTTACCCCACTCGGAAACACAACTGAGGGCATTGTTTTGTCTTTGTTAGGGCATGTTTGGCTTCTTCTAACCTTTGGGAATATGTAAGAGGAAAGGGTCTTTGAGAAGCCAGGCCACTGGCCACCCCCTGATTCCTTATCCACCTAATGCACTGACAAAAACCATTTAAAAAGTTGGCTGAAAAGTTAAAGAAACAGAAGAAAGAAAGAGGAAATTAAGGAAAGACAAAAAGCTCTAGAGTAAAAGGGAAAGGCTTAGCTTCTCGTAAAATTCCATATTCCACTGATAGAGGGAACGACAACAATTCATAAAACGACCAAACCTTCCTTCATGCGTTGTCGACAACGTTGCCATGAGCTGAGCAAAGCAAAGCAAGCCCCTTCCCCCCTTTGAACCCATTTTTGACTCTCTTGTTTTTCATTAAAAGCCAGACTCCACAGAGAGAGAAGAAAAAAAAAGGAAATAAAAAAACCAGAAACAGAAAAGGCTTTGTTTTGGGAATTTTATGTGCTTTCAATTGGGTTCTTGATCAGTTGCAAAACCCAGTAAGGATTTTACTTAACCCTGCTTCTGTAATTAATAAGCTGGTCTATTGGTTTTTCTTTTTCTTTTGAATTTTGTATTAATTGATGATATTTCATTATTTCATGAACCTGTCTTTTGGAAGAATTCATCTTTCATTGTTTTTCCCTAAAGACAATTGGGGCTGTCTTAACATTTTTTTGTTAGATCCTAGCCTTTCTATTTGTTAGACCTCTTTATCTTTTTCTCGTGGGATATTTGGTCTGATGCATTTGTTAGACTTCTAAATCCTCTGGTTGTTTTGGCATAAAACAAAGACTCCAAATCTGTTTTTTTTTTTTTTTGGGTGAAATCTTGTGAATGTTAACTATATTCTGGTACTTTGAGCTGATGAAATTTTGAATCTTGCATGAAAGTGTGATGTTTTCTCTTTAGAAAAGACCAGAACTTTTCTTAGCATTCTTTTTTTTTTTTTTTTGGCAATTATAATCTGGTTTTGCTTCTTATATTCAAAAACTTCTGGGCCTTTTCTTTTAACGGTGTCAATGTTCCAAGACGAATCATCGTCTGTAACATCATCACCTCTCCAAGTTTTCTCCATGATGTCACTCTCACCTAACTTAGGATCACCATATCCATGGCTCAGAGAGCTAAAATCTGAAGAAAGGGGTTTATATTTGATCCATTTATTGCTCACTTGTGCCAATCATGTAGCTACCGGTAGCCTCGAAAATGCAAATATTGCCCTTGAGCAAATATCCCAACTTGCTTCTCCTGATGGTGATACTATGCAGCGAATGGCTGCCTACTTTACCGAGGCGCTTGCTGATAGAATCCTCAAAGCCTGGCCTGGTCTCCACAAGGCCCTCAATTCCACAAGGATAACTTTGCTGTCAGAAGAAGTTCTTGTTCGGAAACTATTTTTTGAGATGTTCCCCTTTTTGAAGGTGGCCTTTGTTCTTACGAACCAAGCTATAATCGAAGCAATGGAAGGTGAGAAGATGGTTCATATAATTGATCTCAATGCAGCTGAACCTGCACAGTGGATTGCACTTATTCAAGCTTTGAGTGCTAGGCCTGAAGGGCCACCCCATATGAGAATTACGGGGATTCATCAACAGAAAGAAGTATTGGATCAAATGGCTCATAGATTGACTGAAGAAGCTGAAAAATTGGACATCCCATTTCAGTTTAATCCCATAGTCAGCAAATTAGAGAATCTTGATATTGAGAAATTGCGTGTTAAAACTGGGGAGGCTCTGGCAATCTGCTCTGTTCTCCAACTGCACTCCCTTTTGGCTTCTGATGATGAACACTTTCGGAAGAAATCGCCATTAGCAATGAAGAACTTGAACGGAATTCACTTGCAAAGAGCGCTCCAAATGAACCAGAACACTTTAGGAGAGTTGCTTGAAAAGGATATGGTTAATGGGTATAGCCCTAGCCCTGATTCAGCCTCATCGTCACCATTATCTTCAACTGCTTCAGTGAAGGTAGATAGTTTTCTTAATGCATTGTGGGGTTTGTCGCCTAAACTCATGGTGGTAACAGAACAAGATTCTAATCATAATGGATCTACTTTAATGGAGAGGCTATTGGAATCTCTTCACTCTTATGCAGCATTGTTTGATTGTTTGGAGTCTACTGTCTCAAGAGCATCTTTGGAGAGACTCAAAGTGGAAAAGATGCTGTTTGGAGAGGAAATAAAGAACATAATAGCCTGTGAGGGAGCTGAGAGGAAGGAGAGACATGAAAAGCTTGAGAAGTGGATGCAAAGGCTTGATTTGGCTGGCTTTGGAAATGTTCCTTTGAGTTATTATGGCATGTTGCAGGCGAGGAGATTGCTGCAGGGCTATAACTGTGATGGGTATAAAATGAAGGAAGAGAATGGATGTGTAGTAATTTGCTGGCAAGATCGACCACTTTTTTCTGTATCAGCTTGGAGGTGTAGGAAGTAAACTATGAAACATGTAGTTTCCTGGTATCTCAGTTTTTTTCTTTCATTTTATCAAATGAAATCAAAAGGATTTTGTTCATCTTTTAGTTCATACTTCCCCAATATGCTCCTTGTCTTAGGTGAAATTCCCCTCGTTATCTTACACTTGGTAATCTTGCAGGTTAAAGCTTAACTTTTGAGTGCATTGTACAGTTAGTTTTTCTTGATAAATTTGAAAAAAGAAAGTTCAAAAACGAGTTGAAGTTATGATTCTACACATACTTATTGTAATCACTTTAGACATTAATATAAGAGAAAGGGGTATCAGCAAAAGATAACCAATTGAGAATTTATTTTGAATTATGAACTGATAAATATCATTATGATTAGCATCCAAGTGAAAATGCAAGATGTTTTAAGGTTTTCCTCTTTGAAAGTTCAGCAATAAGCAGCAGGCCTTTCTTGCATATCAGAAAATTATGGCGTTGCTGGAACTTTATAACCTGAAACAAATACATCACCAACAATAGTTAGCATCTACAGTTGCAATATTAACCTTTCTTAAAATAACGAAGTATTGTTATATAAACTGGCAAATAAGTCAAATCACAATCTGTGAAATTCACGATGAAACAAAGATGAGATAAGAATTACAGACAAAAAAACAATGAAAAATATCTGAGTTTCATGTATAATGTTCCCCTATAATCTATTTTCTTTTATCTTGATTTAGAATTTTTGTTATTGTTATCTTCCTTCCATACATATTTTTTCGTGAATTTATTTGATAATCAACGCAACCGTTGTAAAAGTTTGAGTGAAAAGCCAATGTTTTTCTGTTCCATGCCTAGCTTCATACAAGAGGTGTCCATGGCCAAATCAGATTGGGTTCAAGTAGCACTTATGGTGTCCATACTGTATAAGTATGTTTAAGTCCAGATCAATTCGACAATTTCAATTTCAAATTTTACTCAGACCCATTCAAATTATTTTTTAAAAAAACAAAAACATATTACTTTTTATTTAATCTTTAACATTTAATCTTTTTTATTAACATAATTTCTTTATCATATTATATATTTAAGCATGGTTCCACTCAAGCCTTAATATCAAATTTAAAATAAACACAGATTATGGGATTTTATAATTGTTTTATAAGCAAAGAAAAAAAAAAAGGAAAACGAAAGATGCCCAGAAAATATATTTGTTGAAATCTGGTTACAGCTGTTTCCTTTCTTCAATGATTTTTACTTTAAACAAAAAATTGATCACACATGTCTAGAAAACCCATGGCCACACATATACAAAACAAATCCAAGAATATATCACACAAAAAAGAAATTCAGTATATGAAATTTTTTTTCTAAAATAAAAAAAAAAGTTGAAAAATTAATAGTTCTTAGTGTTAGCCAGTGAAAGACAGTCTTACTTCCACAATAAGTCCCCTGAGGGATTGGTTGGCCACATGCTCCTGCAACATAAACCAGCTTCTCCATGCTGATGATTTGCTCAATTTCCTTGGTGATAAGCTTGCATGTGCACTCCATCCCAATGGACTTCAGAGCCTTGCAGCAGTCAGCCGATGGTGCAACTTTTGGCTTCTCTTTCTCTATGAAATTCTGGCATCCGAACAACACCCCTAACCCCACCAAATTTCCACACTCTTCCTGCCCTGAAACCTGGCTTCTTCCTCCCAGGATTAGCACCTCAATCACCATTATCAAGGCCATGCACCTAATTGTCCAACTTGCCATTCCCTCTTGTTTCCCTCCAAATAGTTGAGGCTCCTGTTTTGACTGAATCCAATATTTTGATTGATCGAGGAATGCTTTAGAAGGGGATGAAATCACAATATATATATATATATATATAAAGGTGATAAAGCAGACAACTTTAAAAAATAATAATAATAAGGCAGGAAAGAGAATGGGTTGACCATTAGTAGGCCAGTTGGTGCATTTAATTTAGATATAAAATTGTCATCTTGCATTGAGATGGATAACTTTGAAATTACCTTTTAATTTTATGCTAACAAAGTAATTAATATACGATTTACTTGAAATTTCATTTATGAAAATGATTCATTGAATTTGAAACCGAATAACTTTTCTTATTTTTTGTATCTTTTATTAGTTAGAGCTTTAATAATGTTATATAAATTTCTTAATTAATGGTTTTTTTTCTTCTTAAACAAGTCTAATGAAGAAGGCATACATATTTACATACTTTAGAAATAGTTTATATTTCATTTGTAGATTTTTAAATTTATTAATTTTATCTTGTATAAATTTATAAAAGTTAAAATTTTTTATAAAAAAATTATTCAATGTGAATCGCTTATATTATTGATGGACAATTTTAAAAAATTACCATGTGTGCTGCATTTAACTATGTTGATTTGATTTTTTATAAATTTTATTTATTTAAAAGATTTATTTTGACAAAATTAAGTGTATATATTAGCTTATAAAAAATCAAATATTATTACCTTTTATAAATATATATGTTACAAATTAATTATCTTAAATTACTTTCAAAAAATTTAATTTGTAATTTTAAGTATCAAACATGAGCTCTATAAATAGGAAATATGCTATGAAAACATTAACTATTTAATGACCGTAATTTTAGTATTTAATTAGGAAATAATTTATGGATTTATTAACCTAAACGAATATATAAACCAACTATATAATGCTAAAAATTCAAATCTAAAATAAAAGCCCAATTAATTGCAAACATATTTTTTAATATTTCGTTATATTTTCAATCACACATATTTGCAGGCATAATTTACTCTTTAATAAAAATTTTTCAAAATATTAAATATAGACTTTTCAACATAAAACAAAATTATAGTAGTAAAGTGGAAAGGCATTAATTTAAAATCAATTATTTTAACTCAACCCTAATAATTTTATAAAAATTAATTATTTTATGAGAAAAAATCAACAACTATTCTTAATTTAGATGATATGTTTCCATGATATGATTCAAAAATATATTTTCAATTTACATTTAACTAGTTTTCATGACATGTTCCAAAAAAAGAAACCATTAATCGAAAACAAACCAATTAATTTTCTTTTTAATTAACCTTCTAAAACTAATTTACATTACCTTTTATATGCTTTTTATATTTAAATTTAAAAACCAATTTTGGTAATACATCTACAGTATATAAACATTTTCTTTAATCATTTTCAATGAAAAATTCAAAATTTCAAATTGAATTAAGTAAAAGGAAACTTATTTAATTCTTAATTTTTTAAAATGGAATACTGAATTAATTCAAAATTTATCTTTCTCTTTCTATCAAAACTCATTAAATACTATTATTGAATTTGATTATTACTTTCTCTCTTATTCAATATTATAAATATTAGGTTCTCAATAAGATGATTTCATTACATTTTTTTTAACCTTTGCATTGTTTATGAGTATCATTTGATAGATCATAGCTTTCACTTTACATATATATATATATATATATATATTTTTTTTTTCCCCTTTTCAATGTCAATTTATTAGCTTTCTTCCTTATGCTTTGACATTTATAGATTTATGGGTGGTGAGTGAACTTTGTTAATACCAAGTATTTTGAATATCTACACTTAATATACAGCTATCATCAACTATTAAAGATTACATTGTGTCATAATGTATAGGTCTACAAACTTATCATTAGACACAATTTTAGGCTCTTCTTGTTTCATAGAAAATGATTTCTAAGAAATGGTTTTGACATTTTCAAGAGTTTGTTTGATAAAAAATTGACCGATCAATAAAAAATAACTTATTGATTAATGAAAAATGAGATTATTTTTTTAAAATTATCTTATAGATTTGAATAGAGAAAGATATTTTTCAAAAAAAAAGTTGTTTATGGGTAAAACTATTTATCAATACTTTTGAGTATAATTTTACTTATAAATAATATTATATTAATAAATAATATTATATGAATAAATAATATACTATTAATATAATATATTAATAAATAATATAAAGAATAATAAGTAATTTTATTTTAAGTATTGTTTTATATAAACATAATATTTTAATATTACATAATATTATTTAAATATAATTATTTTTTAATATTAATAATTTTAATAATAAATAATTTTTAATATTTTAATAGTTATATTAATATCATTTGAAAAAAATAGATTTTTCATAAAACAATCAAACAACGAAAATCATTTGTAATTAACTCATTCAAATAATAAAAAATCTCTTTCAATTTAGAAAATGCAAATATTTTTCAAAAATCAATTTTTAGAAGTTATTTTCTGCAAACAAACAAAGCCTTAATAGTCACCATTAATAATTTTTATTTAGATGCGATTGGCCACCTAATTAAATCTATTCTTTTTTAAAAGAGAAGTCTCACATTTGATTAGGGTACTTTTAAAAAAGTAGATTCTAGTCTATAAAATCAAAACTAGGTTAGAAAATACTATTACATGTGAAAAATATTATAACATCTTCAAAACAACCATCCAAAGGATGGTATCAGTTAATTTCATATTATCCAAGCCTTACAATATATTTTTAATTTTATCGAGTAAACTTAATATTAAAAATTAATTTTAAAATTACTCCAATAGTTTGATAGCAAATTAAAAAATTTTATTATCTCAAAAGTATTCATAGAGATTAATATCCTACTTTGAATAGCTCCATCGTTGTATTCATTAATATATTTTTTAAGGAGTTAATTATTTTTAAAATCAATTAAATCCTTTAATAGTTTGGTAAAATTTTATTTCGAAGCACATCCCTTAATAGTTTGATAGGATTTTAATTTTAAAATTTTAAACGAACCATTAAATCTTTCAATTGTTTAGTAAGATCTAACTTTGACGTTTAAATTCTCTAATAGTTTGGTAAGATTAAAATTTTATTTAAAAAATATTAAATTTTTTTAATAGTTTGGTAAGACTTAATTTGAGATTTAAAATTTTCAATAATTTGGTAGGATGAATTTTAGAAGATACTTTTAATTAAATGAAATTTTTCAATAATTTGGTAGGACTTATAAATTTAATTTTTAAAAATTTAATTTATTTATATTTTCACATAAGATCATCTAATAATTTAGTAGGATTTATGAATCTTATTTTCATAAATTTAATATATTTTCTTTAAACTCCTAACATCCTTTAATAGGGTTTCTGTTTGATGTTTTGGGTTGAAAGATTAAGCTTGATCTGAGAATAAAACTTTTCTTCTCTATTTATGGGAACTCAATTTTTGATGGATGAAATTAAAGTTGATTTTTGCTATTATCATATTCTAATGATTCCTCCTCCTTGTTCTGTATGATTGTTGGGGTTTATATAGGGGTTAATGAGGTAGAGACTATGCTTAAAGTCAGCTTGAAATTCAAAAATTTAAATTTAAAAGAAATCCTATCTTATTCATATGAACTTCATGTACAAAAAGGGCTTAAAAAAACCTTTTTATTTGAATGGTTTTGAATTTTAAAACTTTCATGATCCTAAATTTTTTATTTGAATCAAATTCTAATTTTTTATTTTTTTATTTTTCTATCTTATATCATAAAATAAAGATGCAAGCAAAAAAAATGACTAAATTAGATAGCCCATGAAGATCAAAATATCAAAGTCCAATAGTAACTTAAGTTTTGGATGATTGGGTTATGATCCAATAAAAGCATAAATCAAAATTTCAGAAATTAAAAACTTTGGACAAAATAAGATGTCTACACTTTGTTATATATTTAACCACTTTTTTTACTTATTAATCTCCTATAAATTAACATATTATTTATTATGTCTTTGCAATTGTTTTTCTTCTCTGGCTATGCATTTTATAGAATGGAATATTTGTGTACTTGGTTTGCTAATTGCAGTTCAAAATATATAATTCATCTTATCTTGAATCATATTGTTTAATTGATGATTAAATTTTTTAATGACAAAGATGTGAAAAGTATAGATTTGGAGCCCTCAAGGTATGAATGGTATTATGTCTATGAGTTTGTGGATTTCTTTCATCAATAAAATTATTCCTATACCACCATTTGAAAATTTCTCTCATATAGTCCTCAATCATGGAAACTGGACTAATAAATAGAAATTTCATGATTAGAATCTTCATGGACATGCAAGAAATGAACATTATCAGTATTATCTTAAGACTAGTGTAATAATTTCTATAAGTATAATTGTTTAACCTTTTTTGCCATTTTACGTCCCATTCTCTTTTAAGATTCTTCTTAATAATTTTTTTGACATTTTCTTTTTCTGTCTCCATTATTATGTGATATTATTTGTTGATCCCGTTATTTTCCTATTAGTGTTTTATTTTTTATTGATGTTATTTTATTTTTTTGCTATAAAATATAATAATGGTATTGTACATAATCTTATTTGTAAATCACAAACGTATAATTATTAAATTTTATATAAATATATAAAAACCAAAATTTTTTACAAAAAAAAAAATTACCCAATGTGGGTGACTTATATTACTAACATGTGAATAGTTTTAAAAAATTATCATGTGTACTACATTTAATTTTTTATTTGATTTTATTTAAATTAAAAAATATTTTAAATAATAAATTATATTTCTTTCCTTTTAAATTTTAATTTAATTATTTTTACATTTATGTGACATTTTATAATATATTACGATTAAAATTTTAACTTAAATTACATTAAATCACAATATTATCTTTCCATATTCGTCAAAAGGCTTTAATATAAATTTAAGTTGTTTGCAATCATGCTTTATTTTACATCAATATATCATGTGTGGAATTATTCTTTGCAA